CTCTGATGCTGCTTGGCCTGCTGTGTTCATCCAGCTCTACACCTTACACCTTGTTATCCTTGATTTTCTTTGCTGTATTTAGGTGACGCCTTCAGGTGCTGAGTCTCTAAACTCTAGAATTCTCTTGTTCAGCCTCTCCACCTCACTTCCTCTGTGGCCTCCAATGAGAAATTCCTTACAACTTTAATACAGCATTCCCCAAAATATGTAGTAAATAATTGTGCTTACTTTTTAAAAAAAAATTCACTTGATAATTTTCCTCTCTTTGTTCCTCATCAGCAGACTTTGTGATTTCACAGGACTCAGTGGAAGTTCATTCAGACCGCCCTTCAACTTGGTGAGTTTATATAGTTGGAGCCGGGGACCTCCAGTATGTTCTAAGGAAGGAAAAATCGGGGCCACAACAAAATCCACTCGCAGCAAGTGACTTGTGCTTTTCCCTAAAAGGTAATAAATACCTCATTAAGAAAACTATTGCAGAGGGTGAGGGGTAGGGCAAGAAACACGGGAGCAGGGCTGATAACAAGGTGTGGAGCTGGATGAACACAGCAGGCCAAGCAGCATCAGAGGAGCAGGATGGCTAATAAAGTAGCTTTTTCAAAGATGTGGCAGAGGCCAACAAAAGGTTTATCGCGCCTCTCTCTGAAGTGTCATTCTTTGATTTTATCCCTCAAATCAAAACACAAGAAAATCCCAGAATCAAAGCTGGAGTCGGGTCTTTTTCAGAATTTTGTTCAACCTCTGCACAGCTCGCAAGGGCATGTTTTCCTATTAAATTGTAATTAATTTGTCGACTTTGCTTCATTCACTGCTGACAGTAATATTAAATGCTTGGATATTTAAAAAGTATCACTTTTGTGTTTAATTTTTCTTTGCCTTGCCCTTGTCCCATAGCAGGGACCATATATTTGGCTCATATTGTTGTGTGTGTGTGGAGAAGGTGGGGTGATCCTGTTAGTCTCGTAATCTGTCGCCACATCTTTACTATTGAGGGATTCGAGTTCAAATGCGACAGCTGTGGAATTTAAATATGATTAAAAAGGTGAATCTGGAATAAAGGGGAAACGCTTCACCGTGTAATAATGACAATCAAACTACTAGATTGCTAGAAATCTCCGGCTCCAATTCACATCCTCATTGGTAATTGGGGATAAGAAATAAGACGTTCAATAAATGATTTTTTATATATTTAAGAATTCAAATTCTATGTGAGACTGAATACAGTCTTGGCGTGAGCTTCGTATGGAGTTAACAAAACAAAAAAAATCTCTGAAGCTAACAAAACAAAATAAATCTCTGATCGTTATTATTCTTGATCTGCTTAGATCTCTCCTCATCGTTTGTAGATCTTTTAAAATTATTTTGGCAGACAGAATTTAATTTTCCCTTGTACTTTATTTTCTGGCCGATGACGTGCGCTTCCTGGGTGAATTAATTCTTTTACAAGTGCTGGGTGTCTGTGATGATGTTTGACACTCAAAGGGTTAACAGCAGGTCGTCTCTATTCTTGCAGTCCTGGATCAGTAACAGGAGGAGAAGCTAATCTGTATGAACATCTGACTTCGTGCTGTATTTGGGCTCCAGGTTGTGGTACAATGACATTACAGTCTTGTTTTTCAATGAGAGGGCAGATCCGATTCTGTCCTCCGCCCCACCCCGGGTTTGTGAACAGTTGGAGTGCAGCGAGGGAGAGAGAGGTCTAACACTGTAAGTTGCAGGAGTCTGCTTGCTCCTTGCAGAGCCCCACGTGTTGCTCGCTCACTAAGCTACAGGTTGGATACCTGTGACTTAGCGCTTCCTGGCGAACTTCCATCTGTGATAGGTCTATGCAAGCAAATCGTCCAAGACTCACTGAGCACCAACTCCGCCCTATTTCAGGCTCCACTTTATTAAGAAGGAGGTGGAGAGAGAGCGATTGAGACTGTGTGCAGGGAGTCAGTAACTAAGGCGTGTGGTGGTGGTGGGGGAGATCTGGCTTTGTCTTTAAAGCTCTCAGTTTCCTTCCCCCCCCCAACCCTTCTTCAGTCACTGGCTTCTCTCCCCAGTCTCTGTATTTCTTTAGCGGACCATGTTAGACCCGTCCTCCAGCGAGGAGGAGTCGGACGGTGTTCTGGAAGGCGATGCCGCTAAGGAGCCTCCGCTGACCGGCGGGGGGAGCGGCGGGAGCGCCCGTTCCCTGCCGCCCACCCGGGGCAGCGAGGGGCGAGGGACGGCCAGTGCTCGCTCCGTCAGCCCGAGCCCGTCTCTGGTCAGCGAGAAGGAGAGGGAAGAGCAGGAGAGGATCCAGCGGGAGGAGGAAGACTCGCAGAAGAGGAAGGCGCTGCAGCTCTACGTGTTCCTGCTGCGGTGCATCGCCTACCCCTTTAATGCCAAACAACCCACTGATATGGCCAGGAGACAGCAAAAGGTGAGTGAGAGCCCGGGGCACCATTTACCCACCCCCCGCACTTTACACTTTCACCCTCCCTTTCCACTCTGCAGCCAAGCTGCTGCTTGCACCTAGGTTGCTGTATCCAAATCGATGCAAACTCTGCTCAGCACACTTCAACGTGTGCGTTTTTAAAGTTAGCCGCACTTTTCATGTCGGGCCGCTGCCCCTCGCCTCCATCCCTGCTGTTATCCAGCCTGCGCTTGCAGTTATAGGAGCTACCCACCCAATGAAATAACATCTAAACGTACAATGATCGCCTTATACTTAACCAACCTTCTCCCTCTCCCCCGAGGTTGTCTTAATCAGAAAAATCTCCAACCTCAAGCTGCAATCCCTTCGGAATTTAGCCACGCCGATGAGGACTTTTAGCCCTCCGTCCGGTCCAATTTGTGCCTCTAACTCGCTCTTTTTCTCTTCAGATACTTTAATAAGTTACTTTCAAACTTTCTTCTGCTTTCATCCCCCTGCCCCCATCATTCCATAACAATTTGCTGAATTCCTTTTCTAACCTTAATAGTACTCTTTGGTACTTTGCACTTGTTGTGTCCTTTGGAATCAGGGTAAATTATTAAAAAACCTTTTCAAGATTTTTACTGAAGTTTCTCTACTAAATCTCCTGTCATATATTGTGCTAAAGAGAACAAAACCAGTCTCACCAAATAACCAGGTCTCCTCTCCTTGTGGGAGGGCTAGGACTTACTGGCATAATCTGAGCAAATGGTTGCCCATTTAAATCAGGGATGAGGAGGAATGTCTTCTTAGAGGGTAGTGGATCGGAGGCTTTTCCTACAGAAGGCTTTGAGGTGAGGTCATGAAGTATATTCAAGGCTGAGTCAGATTTTTGATCAGTAGGGGAATCAAGGGTTTACATGGAGAAGGCTGGAAACTGGAACTGAGGATATTGGATCAGCCTTGAAATCATTTTCTCAAAAAGCTGAATGGTTTAATTCTGCTCTTGTGACTTAATGTGTTATCCTTGATGCGATTCTACTGAGCCTCTTCTGTATCTGCTCCAAGGCCTTGACATTCTTGTCAAATTGCTGCCCGGTCCTGGCCGTATGCTCCACCTGAGGCCTAATCGGTGCCTCTTACAGGTTAAGAGTAACTCCCTTCCCATTGGCAGAAAGGTTAAGAACCAGAGGACACTGCTTTTTGAACTGGATACCAAAAGTGACATGAGGGAAATACTCGGTTAGCTCAGTTGACTGAAGGGCTGGTTCCCCAATAGTGTGGATTCATTTCCTGTATTGGCTCTGCTTGTTTGTGAAGGGCTGTCCTAGTCCATATCTCCCCTTGCCTGAAGCGTGGTGACTGTTGGGTGAAAGAACCAACAGTCATCTCTCTATAATAAGAGCAGGTATACTCTGGTACATCCATGGTGGCTTTACTTCAAATGCAGGATGTGGTTAGGATCTGGAATGCCCTGACTGCAAGTGAGATGGAGGCAAGTCTAAATGTAGCTTTCAGAAGAGGATGCAATGATTACAGAAGAGATCTTTCCAGATCTATAGGGAAAGGAAGGGGAATAAGACTGGCTGCTTACTCTTGCAGAAAGCTTTTTTTTTAGATAAAATAAGCCAAATGGCTGTGCTGTTATCATTCTGAATTTTTTTGTACTCTAGTCATCAGACCAAGGATCCCAGATATCTCTAACAGTCCCTCATTATTATGCATACCCCAAGACCTTGCAGCTTTCTGCACTACACTATTTCTAGCGGAAGGTCTGGAGAAACTGGAATTGTTCCCTTTCAGCACCGTGACCGTTAAAGATGTGTTTATTAGATGCTCTCAAAAAAATTTTGATGGATTAGGGAGAAACTGCTTCCATCAGGTGAGAGCATCAGTAACTAGCTGACTTGGTTTGAAGTTAATTGTCAAAAAAATCCAAGGTGGTTGGGGGAATGTTTTTTGTCAACACTGGGTTATGATTGTAATAAGTTGCTTGAAAGGGCAGTCTGAAGCGATTCAATAATTTTCAAAAGCTATCTCTGCTTGAAATGGAGAAACTTGCAGTGCGAGCGAGGAAAGGCAGTGCAGTGAGACTAATTGGATGGTTCTTTCATACACCTATACCAGCATGATGGGTCGAATGGCCATCTTCTGCATTCTGATTCGATAGCTTACACTGTCACCTTTTTAAGGATTTCTGTCTTTAAATCTGAGTTCAATTGACATTAATTCCCGAGAAACTAAAGGGGCCTGAGTTTTGAACCTTGGTTTATTTATCTGTAACATTGTCAATTTGTTCAGAGCAATGCCGTTCAATATGTGACCTCCTCACTGCAGACTGGAAATACCTTGAGTTCCCTGCTGTGGTTTATCAAATGTTGTGTCCACATTGCGATGGTATCTTGATTCTATTTTAGAAGAGACTTTCTTTGGGCAGGACATTCGATCAATTACAATGTTTGTAATTCAGTGAACAAGTGCAACACTTTTCAGTGACTTTGTTTGTTAAAACACTAGCTCAGAGTAGAAGTAAAACTCCACTCTTGTGGCTTACCTTTAAATTTCACCCTATATTTAAACCTGTTAGTGAAATAAGGAGATGGGGAAGGTGACACATTAGTGTAATTCTGTTTATGGTGAAACATTGTTACTTCCCTGTAGACCTGTGGTGCTAGAAGCTGTAGTTCCTTTTACATTTTGAAATGTAATTTTGATGTGCTCCCAACAATCCAACCAATTTTGCCTCCCAGTAAATCATCTGAATTGATGAGAGATGATGAGCTTGCAATTGCATTGGATATCATACTAGACACTGCCAGGCTCTGTTTCCTCGGCTGTTTGAAGCTTTTGTTTTATCGTACCTACATTCATCCTCTTAGTCTTGGTAGGGCATGCCACTTCAGCTGGGTTGTTAATGCAAGTGACAGGGGCTTTTCTTCCTTATGACATCATGTAGCTATGTTTTGTTTCAAGTCTACCAATTTGTTGCTTATGATAATGTACTGCTTTGTAAGAATCAGTGTTATACAATTTAATACGCAGTTTTTTTGTTTCATTCATGTAGTAGAGCTGTGTCTCCAGATATCTAAGTAATCAGATACTTAGATTAATTCGAGTTGAACTGTTGATTTGCAGGATCATGGACCTAAGTATTTAGAAGCAGTTAGCATTAAGTGACAAGCGTTTTTTTTTCCTTATGTTCAGCCCTCCGGTTGTATCTGTTACGATATGTCTGTAAGCCCATCACAATGACTCAGATGTCATTTATTTAATGCAATTTATACACTTGTGGATCAATTTTTTTTTGTGATTTCTTGACATGAAACATACTTGATTTCCAAGGTGTTTGGATGTTGGAATCCCTACCAGTTTTGTGTGGTCACATCTGTACCTGTGTATTTTCATCAAGTCACTGCTTGATGAGTGCTATGCTTGACTGTTTATGCTTGCCAGCTGCCTTAACAGAAGGAATCGCTGCAAGTCATGTGTAGTGACTTCGATTCTCTCTGCAAAGACCAAATGTCTTTATAAAATGCATGGCAGCTTTAATATCTAAGGCAGTTTCAAGAGACAATTATCAAAAGAAAATAATTATAATTCATTTTGTCTGCTTAAGTGGGTGAGTCACTTGATAGTTCTCATAAATGAGTTTTTATTTTCCAGTTTATTTACCCCTGCTGTTGTGACCTGCATAGTCTTCTGAGTATGAGAGATGAGTGTTTTGCCTTTGAGCCTGTACCTTGGGGCTTATGCAGCACAGCAGCTTGGTTAACGAGCAACTCAGTGCAAGTACACAAAGTAACTTGTCTAACAGTGGGCAACTGAGCTACAGTTTTTTTCCTCGTGGATTTTATCATGGAAGTATTTATTCTGAAGCATCAATTGCTTTGTCAGAATAAAAGTCAGAATTTGCTTTAAAGTTTTTGTCACCACTTTTTTTGTCTTTTTTGCTGCAAACATTTTCCAAGGCTGAAGAAAGACCAGCTTTTGTACAGAGTATTTAAGTTCAGGATATCTTTCAGCATCCCAAGTGTTTTTGGCTGTCCATGTGTCCAACACTTCAACTCGTTGGTTGTCGTGCCTTGATTAACCTGGTCTGGGTAAAGTTGGATTCCAAAAGCATTATCAGATCATGCTTGTATGGTGACTTATCTTTTCAACTTTGGCCAATAACTGTAATTTTAACCCAACTTGGCTGGATAACTGGCATACTGTGAGTTATACAATGAAAAGCAGTTGTCCTTTTTGGAAACTGTGATCCTGGGCAAATAAATTATCCATTTTCAGGGCCTACACCCATCTCACCACTAGTCAATGAACTTTCAAAATGAAAAGATGAGCAGTGTCTTTTCCTTTGTCACATGTCAAGAATAGCAAGTTGCTAGGGTACAATTTTCCAGTGAATTATTTAATTATGCCTTCATTACATTGCATTGCAGATTGAGTAATTGATGTATGGAATTTTTTTCTTTGCATCACGTTTGCTTCTTTGGAAAATTAGTTAACGAAATGTCCTCTTGCTTTTGATCCTGTTATAAGCTAGAACAGATTTCTCCTTATTTTTCCCAAATCCCTTGCAACTTTGAAAACTTGTATCCAATCTGCCTTGTACCTTCCAAGAAAAATGGTTTTAACTTTTTCAGTTAGAAGGTAAATTGGAAATGTCTCCTCTCTGGAACCATTCACAAACCTATTCTGAACTGTCTTTCCAAGGATTTACATCCTATAGTGAGTGATGAGCAGAACTGTACACAGTACTGTAGTCCAGATGAAGCCAAATCAATGTCTCAAAAGTTCAGCATAACCTCTTTTGCTGTTGTAAAGTGTGATCCTAGGCTTCATTAACAGCTTTCCCAATCTGTCTTGTGTCTTTGTAATGACTTGAGCGCAGGTACAGCCAGGTTCCTCTGTTCCTGTACACCCTTCGATGTAATAAACTTTATATTGTGTCTCCACTTGCTTTGCATCACTTCCCCACATTTGAACTTCATCTGTCTGCCCACTCCAGTTTGTCAACTTCCTTTTTT